TCTGATTACATAGATCAGGCTCCTTGTGAAATCCATGAATGCCACTTTCATGTCTGTACCAAGAAGGAGGGAGCAAAAGATATTAGTGAATTCAGATCAATCAGCTAGTCAGCAGCTTATATAAACTGATTACAAAGGTTTTAGCTAATAGGCTCTCAAAAATCTTCTATTTGATCATTGATCAATGCCAACATGCCTTTGTTGCTGGGAGACAGATTTCTGATGCTTTTATGATTGCAAATAAAATGGTTGATGAGATGGTTCACAGCAAAAGGCCTGGGATACTCTGTAAATTGGATATGGAGAAGGCTTTTGACAATGTTTGCTGGAATTTTGTGGATTATTTGTTGTATAGATATGGTTTTGGGATAAGTGGAGAAAATAGATCAAATCTTGCATCACCACAACTAGTTTTGCAGTTATGATCAATGGCGGCTCTTCCTCTTTTTTCCAAGCATCTAAAGGCTTGGTTTACTAGATTAAATTAATTTCTTTCCCCAGCACCTGCCAATGAAACAGATCTAGAAACAGAAATGAGAAAACTCTCCCCATGAGAGAGAGAAGAGAAAATGGTTATACTTGGTTTACTAGATTAAACTAATTTCTTTCAGGATGTTTAGGAAATTGTGGTTGGAAGTGGTAACTTCAGTGTAGCAAATCTCACCTGTTTGGGCAAAGAAAAAGTAATGTGCATGCATAAAGAAGGCAGAACTTTTCATATTTTTTGCTAGCATTATAGTTTTGTGTGAGCTTTTGGGATCTTCCTAGATTCTTGTAACTACCTTCTGGTTGTTGAAATTATCCCAGTTTATTATGCTATTAAGGCCATTTTACTGGATTTCTCTATACTTTTATTTCAAAGAAAGGCCATTTTACTGGATTAGTTTCTTGTTACTTTGTTATTTTGTCCTTGAATTAGTTTTGTGAAACATTAGTTATGTATTTTCTTTGAGTTTTTCTAGTCTATTTCCCTTTTTATGGACTAGCTTGGTTATGATGCTACAACTTGTTCTGGTTTCTTTATGAACTTTAATTACTTGTTTATTTTCGGACTTCTCCTATATTGTTGCCAATGAAAACCCAGTTTCTTAATAGTTTCAAATGAAAATGCAATAAGGTTTCATGTTCACTGCTCTAGGTTCCTGTTCGGCACCTTGTTTTTATGGTTCATGGTATTGGTCAGAGGTTGGAGAAATCTAATTTGGTTGATGATGTTGGCAATTTTCGCCATATCACAGCAAGTCTTGCAGAAAGCCACCTTACTTCACATCAGCTTGGAACTCAGAGAGTTCTTTTTATCCCATGTCAGGTAAACATATGGTCACCTCTTTTTCCATATTACTATGGGATTATTTTTTGCAAGATTGATATATTCTTTTTCTAGATATAAAATAAGGGCAATGTCCAATTGATGCCGTCACATTGATGTTCTCTTAAATAACTATGATGCATCTTCACTGAAGTATCAATTTTGGAAATATTAAACATGCTTGATTTGTTTATAGATGTGAAATGGTAGAGTTATGTGACTAATATCTTGAAACATTAAGCCAATAATAAAAGGACTCAACTCAACATATTATTTTCATTGTATTTTTAACAAGCTTTCAAACATGCAAGCGGGATTTTGAACTTAGCATATGAGCCTTAATTCCAGCTCGAAGATGTAATAATGAACAACATGGCGCTAAAGGAATGCAATATATGCAATCTAGGACTTGTCATCATTTGGAAATCGAGGAGAAAGATATAAAAACAGGGGTTTCAGTTATCTTTCTTGTAAAAAGATTAGCAACAATCTTTTTCTTTAAGGAGAAAAAAAGCTGGGATGTAGTGAAACCAAGGTAGTTGCACCTGTTTACAACGAATGGAAGTTTACCGTCAAAAGGGTTTCCTAGATACTTCATAAAGCTAAGAGGATGACTTTTAAACGAGAACCGTAAGAGTTTGGAGCTAGAATTTCCAATATGCTAAAAGTATAGTGATCTGAAATGCTTCTACTCCTTTACCTCCAAACAACCTGCAAAGTAGCCAGGGAATCTGTGAGATGAAGCTCTTCCTATATTTCTCAGCACAGGGGCATCATCACACCATAAACTTGCTGCTACCCATCATTTTATCTACCAATTGAAATTGAAAAATGAGGAGCATAGTTCACAACTGTGGAGACGAGGCACCACAGAAGCAAGTTGGATGGTCATCTGGCTGTACTATTGCATTAAAACACCATCAATGATGAAACTATTTCCTCTCATCTTTAGATTATCAAGAGTTAGGATCCAACCCAAGATGCAAAAGGAGAATACAGGGAGATACTTCCTTTTGCCAGAAAATTTTCAAAGAATGCTTTATTTTTAATAAGGAAAGAATCTTTATTAGGAAGGAAGAATGAAAAAATTATGAATGTGGAGAATAGGACATCCTCCTCATCCTCTCAAAAAGAAAAGGGGACACTATAATTTGTGCATGAAAATAAACTAAATACAAGCATGTTCATGCTAGGGGCCGATATGACTGCCCCCAATTTGGATGTAGTTCGGAAGAATGCTTTGTTATTTTGATGTGCTTCATTTTTGCCTTTCTTTTTAGGCTAATTTCTCGTCCTTCGGCTTTGCTCTTTATTTACTTCTTTCTAATATAATTCTTTTTTCATAAAAAAGAGAAAGTCCTTCAAGAATACTCCTACAGGACCAGGATTTTTAGTGACAAACTGTGCAACTAACTCTTTTCGTATAGCTATGAACTGATTGTTAATTCATGATTATGCTAAAAGTTGTAAGAAAAGAATTGTCAGACTAGATCTGTATGTGTTCTGAAATCTTAGCTTTTTTCTTCTTATGTCAGCATATTCTTCTCTTTTAACTTCTTGTTTTTCGGCTTCTGCTTTACTTGGTTCTTGCTTATGAAAACATTGTACCTTACATGATGATTCTTCTTTCAGTGGAGAAAGGGTTTGAAGCTTAGTGGTGAGGCTGCGGTTGAGAAAATTACTTTGGATGGTGTACGGGGTTTGCGTGTCATGCTGAGTGCAACAGTTCATGATGTATTATATTACATGAGTCCCATCTACTGTCAGGATATTATTAATTCGGTACCTTCTCATCAACTATTCTTTTGTTAAGGCTGTTTGATCTTTCCTTTTTAAAGACAAAGATGTATAATCCAGTCACAAGCCTCCAAGTTGGACCAAGCGGGTGTAGCTCATGGTAGGATGCTTGGTAGCTCCAAAATCTCTGTCTAGGTCCTAGATGGAAATAATATCCTTATCAAACATATGATGCGGCTGCTTGATTGTTTCAAATATCTCTTTAGTCTGGGTCCTAGATGGGAATAGCATTCTTATTGCACCTAAAAAAGTTGCCTTTTCTCCTCTCTTATGGGAATGTAGTTGATTTTTCTTATGCAGAAAAATGACAAAGAATCTCTTATTGGTTCAGCAAATGTAGATGTAATAGTAGTTGATCTTAGCTGTTTTATAGAAGGGTGGGAATCACAAAACCTCTTAACTTATAGAGAAAGTGATTGCGAATAGAAGCATATGCCATCCCTGTAGCTACTACCTTGATAACAGTGACCCTTTTTGTAAAATTTGGTATTTATTTTGATCCTTATGTTCAATCTTTTGAGATAAAGAAACATCGAAACATCCATTTAAGGTAATCATGGTTTCATTTGATAGAACTGTGCTTCTTCCTTCCACTTTATTTGGATTGATAGCAAAAACATGTTTTTGTTTTGAAATATTCATAATAACTTGCATTTCAGGTCTCAAACCAATTAAATTGGTTATATTTAAAATTTCTAAAGCGGAATCCTGGTTATGATGGGAAGGTAACTGGTTCAATATTCAATGTTCCATTCATAAATAGTAATTGTACCCAGAGCTTGCTCTGTTAATTATCTCACATTTGTATAGGTTTCCATATATGGTCATTCCTTGGGAAGTGTTCTCTCTTATGATATACTCTGCCACCAAGAGAAGCTATCATCCCCGTTTCCCATGGATTGGATGTTTAAAGAAGATGCTGGAAATGAAGGCTCTTCTTGTATGAATAACCAATCCTCCACACATACCTCAAAAAATACTGGAGATAATAGCTTCACTTTAATGAATGAAAGTAAGGACATTGTACACAATGTTGATGAGGATGTTGTGAGTATAGGATCAACTATACTGGAACATGAAGAAGAATGTGCTGAAGATTCTTCCTCTACCGTGAGTCCTAATGCACAGATTGATGAAACTTTGAGGAGTGTTGATTCTGAGAGAATGCAGGGCACAGAAGGTGTTCATGACTTGACCAATATCTCTTCCCAAGAGGATGGTCAAGATGTAGATGTGAATTTGAACTCTGGTGTCCCAGAAAATAGTTTGGAGGAAAAAGCTGATGAAGAATGCAAATGCGATAGTGATAAGGACAAAACAATCAAATTGCTGAGAGAAGAGGTGCAAATTCATACTTTAACGCATGCTTACTCTAGTCCTCTATGGCTTTCCTTCCAGTTGTCTGAGTTTTTGATTCATAGACTTGATCTATTAGATTCACTCCCATGTCGTAACTTTGAATACATGGTTTATTATCATACTCAACAAAAAGTATAATTTCTTTTTCAGATTGATTCTTTAAAAGCGAAAATGGCTGAACTTGCCTCACATTCTTGTAGGAGAGAGGCAGATGATAGGTTACTTCAAGGTTCTTTCTAGTCCTTAAGTTGACCATATGGTTCTTGCTTATGGGAGGAACTCGTGTATACATGTTATTTGTTTTCTAATGCTGTGTATAAACAGAAAGTAAAGAGGTGCCCGAGGCCGAGCCAAATCGACTCTTAACAGAAAAACTGCCACCCATATCTGAGGATTCACCAAAAAGTTATACCCCTTATATTAAATACACAAAGCTTGAATTCAAGGTATAGAAAAGGAAGGAAGAATATATTTTGTTTTTCCTTTCCTTTTGCCTTTCTGTTTGCATAGAAAACCTTGCTTGAAAGTAACACATGTAGGTCCTGAATTTTATCGATTTTAGTTTTCAATGGTTCAGACTATTTTATAGGTCTAGGTGGTCCTATTAGAATATTTGATGAATTCTTTAGAATAACTTGTTTTTGTACCTCAGGTTGACACATTCTTTGCAGTTGGATCACCTTTAGGAGTATTCCTTTCTCTCCGGAATATTCGTATTGGAACGGGTAATGCTCAATAATTTATTTTTCTCTACCATCATTTAAATAGATGCATTGTTATTCGATGTGTATTAAATTTGGGCCAAATTTCGATAAATCTTTCGAAGCTTATATATTCCCTTGCCAATCCTGAAGAATGAAAAAAGAAGTTTCTCCACTTTTATAGTTCCAAAAAGCTTCCTAATCATGGGTTTTATGTTCCAAGACAGTACTAAGCCTCAATATTTTATATATATATTTATGTAATATGGATATCGATATATAAGTTTATAATAGTATCTCAATGCTTGTGGAAATGAGTTGCCTCTTTTTGGTTATGTTCAGTTCCTCCAATAATTGGCTTTGTGCTTGTCAATATGTGTTAGATGTGCTTGCTGACTGATGAATATTTAACTATTGTTGCACTAGTTCTTGTGACAGCAATCATTAAACAATCATGAGGTTCTATTGAAATATAAATATCCAACAAAATCATATGCTCGATGATGCTTCTCTTTCTTCTGAAACACAATATGCAGCACCACTATGTTTCTTTTGTGTTCTTGATGGCTCTTATCCTGTTTTATCATCTCATGTTCTATGGTTCCTTGTTTATTTCATTCTTGGATATTTTTTTCCTTTCTTGTGAGTTGCTTTTGTTTCTCTTCTATTATCGTTATCTCATATTTGGAACTCATGCAATCTAGCTGCTAAGCTGTATTTTCTTCCATATTTCAGGCAAAGGGCAGGAATACTGGTGTGAGGAAAACATCAATGAAGAGATGCCAGCTTGTCGTCAAATGCTCAATATTTTTCATCCATTTGATCCTGTAGCCTATAGGTCTGCCTTTAGGCCATGAGATGAACTGTTGTGCTTAGCTCAACTGTTAGAAGTCTGGAACCGCCATCCTCCTTCTCTGCTTACATTAACATTAAAATGCACATTCACATGCACACTCCTTAAAAAAATATACATTGTTATGGGCAAGAAATATATTATATAATTATTCTTTCGCTTTTGCCTTGATATTGGTATTTATATAGAATCTGGAATGGATTATCGAAGAAATCTTCAATTTTCATGCAGAATATAACCACTTGTTTTCAAAGAATACATCATCAGATGCCCAGTTATTGACATTAACATGTTCATTCCCTTTTTGTTTTGGGAAAAACAAAAGTATATGTTATGGGCAAGAAATATATCATAATTTTTCTTGTCCCTTTTTGCCTTGATATTGCTATTTATGTAAAATCTGGAATGTATTGTTTAAGGAAATCTTCAATTTTTCATGCAGAATAGAACCACTTGTTTGCAAAGAATACATCACCAAACGCCCAGTTATTATTCCTTACCACAGAGGTGGAAAGAGGTTGCACATTGGATTTCAGGTAAGACTACCTGTGAAGTACATAACTTTGCCCCTCTATCCCTTATCTGTGTGTTTGTGTGCACACATGTGCTAGTTTGTGTATGATTATTAGTTTCTCCTCTTCTACCTTCTTGAAATTAGCATTCATCTTTGAGGTGTGTGTTTGTTGGATACGGACATAGAATGGGGAGGGGCAGGCTGTTAGGGGTTCTACCTTTGCAAAGTATAATTCCCTCAATTGTTTCTCAATTCCCTCAATCAATCTAACTTAGCATTCTTGGTTGCTCCTCTTACTCTTTCTTACGTGCTCACACTTGATGGTTTAGGAACTTACCGAAGATTTGGCTGCTCGTTCACAGGCGGTAATAGATCAATTCAATTTTGTAAGGGTGAGGTTTGTCAAACTTTGCAAATTGTATCTTTTTCTTTTCTTATTTTCAAATTTGATGTCTTTTATGAATGGTTTTGATTGATATATTTTGTTGAATATTACAGACATATATATATACATACAGGTTTTTTAGGATAGAAAAGGAAATAAACAATTAGTTACAATTAATTACGAATGTGTAATTATATCTTGATTTATTTACTCTTTAATATTTTAATTTACTTTCTCTTTGATACTTTGATTTATTTCCTTTTTAATGCTGTGATTTACTTGCTCTTTAATACTTGATTTATTTCAATCTTTAATACTCCCCATCAAGCTGGAGAATAAATGTTGTTTATTCCCAACTTGCCAATAAGAATTTGTAATGCTGGATTACTTACAACTTTAGTTAACAAATCTGCCAGTTTCGAATTGGAGAGTGTAGAAATATTGTTTATTTTTTGTGCTTATTCTGGTTACATAATAAGGGTGTATATATAAGTTGACTTCCTAAATTGTAGTCGCATATTATGCAGTCAATATCTTTAGGCACTAAAGAAGGAAACAACAAATAATTAAGAGATATTCTCTCTTCCTTAAAATCAAAAACCGATCCTAGCTGAATCTCACTAATTTTGGCATTTAGTTGTAATTCCATATTTCCACACTCCCCCTCAAGTTGGGTGGTAGATGTCCAGCATTCCCAACTTGCTCTTCATATTTTCATAACTTGTTTTTTGAAGTGCGTTTGTCAAAATATCTACTGTTTGGCGGTGTTCCTCCTCCAAGTTTCCACGTGCTTAGTTTGGCTGTGTTGAACATGATTTCTGGCAATACTTATCACATAAAACTGTCATAGTGAGATTTAATATAATTCTTATTTTACTGATAGGGAAATTCTTATTCTATTAAACTTTTAATTATGTGAGATTATTATTCTTATAGAATCATAATTACATAATACTAACTAATTAAATAATAAATTAAACTAATAAACTAATTAAATAATAAAATATCATATTCAACATCCTCCCAAGTTGGTGCAGGGATATCACACATTTCCAACTTGTAAATTGAGTTACAAATTCGAGGCGTACACACGTGGAAGAGCTGAAAAAGGATTAGAAAAAGTTGGTCGGAAAGGTTCGTATGCAAAAGAAGTGGATTTGTGCCTGATCGTGAAATTAGAGGTAGACACGCGCAAAAGAGCCAAAAAAGGGACAGAAAAGGCTGGTCAAAATCGCTCACGCGCGAAGAAGACCTAGTCGCAAAATCAGAGGCCGCTGTGCGCAGAGGAGCCAGATAAAGGACCAGAGAAGGCTTGTTGGAGCGGCTCGCGCACAGAGGAAGCAAATATGTCTGGCAAAGTAGCAACTCGACTCGGCTCAAAACAGCTCGGACTCGGCTAAAAAAAGACTCAAAATTAGCTAAAAAACGGTTCGAACTCAACTCAAAATGGCTCGCGCTCGGTTCTAAGACAAACAAACCAGGTTTGAGTGATCTGGCGCGCAGAATGGCCAAAACGAACGTTGTCATGTGTGGATAAAATGGAATGGTGTGACCTTTCTACCGGTACCTGTGGATATGCGGCTGCACTCTTTTACCAGCACCTGCGGATGTGCGACTGTACTTTTTTATTAGCACCTGCAAATGTGCGACTGCACTTTTTACCAGTGCTTGTGGATGTACAGTTACACCTTTTACCAGCGACTGTGAATGTGCAGCTGCAACTTTTTACCGGCGACTGTGGATGTGCGACTGTATCTTTTTACCGACGACTGCAAATGTGCGGATGCACTTGTTTACCGGTGATTGCAAATGTGAAGCTGCACATTTTTATCAGCGTTAGCAGATTTGCGACTGCACATTTTTATCGATGCTAGCGGATGTGCGGTTGCACATTTTTATCAGTGATTGAACTGCCACTAGAAATTACCGTAAACACCATAGAACACATCGACAGGTTCAGATTCTTCTTGGGTGGTGATGAGTGTAGATCTGGATAAAAGGGTGCCAACCTAATATATTGTGCTATTTTAGGATTTTTGAAAAAACTATGAAATTAGAATCCTTAAATTGTCTTATTTTGGCTCTTATACTATGTTGATTTTAGGTAAAAAAAAATATAATTTTTTTTTTCACCCTTTAAGTTGTTATATTTAGGGTATGTATAGAATTATTATCCTACTAATAGAGAAATTCTTATTCTATTCGATTTCTAATTATATGAGATTATTATTTTTATAAAATTCTAATTACATAATATTTAACTAATTAAATAATAAACTAATTAAATAATAAAATATCATATTTTGTCTTCTTTGGCTATAGTGGTGTAGCCTTGACCTCTTTGGTTTTGCTGTGAATGAGAAGATTTTCAATCGATAGGTTTACCATGTAGATGTCAGCAAGTCTCCTTTGTATGTCCAGGTTTCTTGTAATGGTTGCACTTACGATTCTTCTTTATTTGGTTGTTATTGTTGGATCAAATTCCTTGTGTAGTCAGAGTTGAGTTCTTAAGATTTTTGAAAGAGTTTTGTATTCCCAACATTACTTTTTGTCTGCTTTCTTCTTTGTGAATTTAAGAAAAAACTTTGTTAACACTAGGTAATGACTTAATAC